GGGAAAGTCAGACCATTCTGCAGCACAGAATGGTCTGACTATGCAAGACTACACTACTGGTGAAATATAAGCTTTACCTGCTGCTAATAGACTTAATCAGCACTACATGAACCTGTTTACCAAGGACCTGAATGCACCAGACATTCATTTATATGCAAAGTTCCCACAATTCACCTTTAATTATAACTGCTTTGAGACATTAAATTAATTTCTCGGCGTATTCAAGGTTTGCAATCATGTTCTAATTGTGTATCTGAGGTTTTTTCATTTCAGCTAAAGCACAGCATATATACAGAGTGCCCTGGGTAATGGTTATTCAGTACCTGGGTATATGAATGGCTGTCCAGCCCACCAGCCCTTCATATCAATGACAAAGTACATGGCTCCCAGCAGCAGGAAAGAGAAGCAGCCCATACACATCACATAGGACAGCGACCTGCAGAGAAACACCATCAGCAACACGTTACACCAACGGCAATGGTTTACTCTGTACATTCGGGCATCACTAAAATGTTAACTGTAGGGTGTGAACAAGGGTGTAAACACACTTAGTCTATCAATCCCCTGCTGCAGATAAATAACACCCAGGGGTCTCGAGCCAATCCAACAAACTGTGGGACAGTTTGCTGGACTGGTCTAAAGCATCAGCAGTGGATCTTTGGCATGTGCCCCGTGGAGCTGTGCCAACCAGCCATGTTCCTGTCTGTTCCTAAGTGCAAGAATGTTTGATGAAATACCATCCGATTTAAAATGGCTGCCTCCTTGCAGTGGGCTTTTTTATTTTTTTTATTTTTTTTTTTATCTCAGCTGAAGTGGGGCCAAAAAGGACTCTTGGCTGAGAGTTAATTACTTCTAGACATCCAGGCAGGGACTTGTACTCAAGAGCTCAATAACCTGTGCATGATGAACTGCCTATAAAAGCCAGGCAGGTAATAGCGAGGGATGAGCGTGGCGTTAGCGGGAGCCCCAGTGGAACATCATGAGGAATTTGCTTACACATCACAGATGAAATGGTATTCTTCCTGCTGCAACATTAAAATGATTCACATCATATTAAGGGGAACGTGGGAGTGGAGCAAATGCACAGGTCGTAAAGTAATCTATGTCTGAGGCAGTAATTGCGCAATATTTCATGCAAAATCATTACAAACATTTATTAGGGTGCCATGCTTTGTTTTTCCAAAAAGGCATGTGATAGTTCGGGAGCACTTAGACGCCACTGTGGTTATACGGTTACTTTTCCCAGAGCCTGATCGCTTTCCATCACACAGAGCTGGTAAAATGTGTAGCCAATGCTTCTGGGGCGGAGAGGAAAAAGCATGCTTTATTTCGCTGGCCGTAAGGAAGAGCGATCATGTTGGGAGGATGTATAACCGCTCCACCTCACACTCCCGACAGCCCTGGTGATTATTTACAGTCGTAGCTGTCGTTGGAGGTAAGTAAACGCGTGTTTTAGCAGCCTTGATTTGTGCCTGTTGGAAACCCATCCTTTTCTTTTGTGAGGAAAAGTGGCTGGATTTAGAGGGTCAGGAAGCACTTACCAAAGGTTTTTATTGACAGGTATAAATCCTCCGTCTCGTGTGCACTTAGAAAGGATGGCTGCAGAGATTCCCTGAGGGTGGAAATGAAACAGATTTCAAATCGATGGAGGACGATAAAGCAATCTGTATCGGGCTGCTAAAACGTGAGGCAACACAATCAAGCAGGTTCGGCAGATTAACCGATTATCTGAGAGTCAGACGAACAAGCATCAACACACACTGGAGCCAAAACAAGGAGCTGAAAGATGGTAAAAAATGTATGAATTGCTCACAACTTTATGCTCTTCACACCCCAGTTGAGGCCTGATTGACTATATGGTCTTATTTACTCACAATATGGATTAATGACATACGATCTGATGAACTCTACATCAGCACTGTCACATCTGTTCGCCTTTACATGTGATTTAGATGCACGAAGAAACATTTTGTGCTCCAGAGAGAAAGCCGGGGCGGTGGATCAGAATCCAGACATGCTCGTTTGGTGGATATCCATCATGTGTATAGATGACAGAATCGATGGTGTGGAAATAGCCTAGCTGGGGCTGGATTGAGTCTCCAGGCTATCCAGGCAGCAGGATGTGGGATGGGGCTGGTATGTGGGGCAATCGCTCAATTTCAATCTCTCACTTCTGGAGCCTGATCGTTGGACTTTAATTAACGGGGGCTGTTGTTTATTATGAGGAAGATGCATGACTGCCCCTGAATATGTGTCCACCTCAAAACTACAGTGAACCGTGGTGTAAAAACCTGCCCTTACTGTATCAACACTTTCTGGCTCTTTGCGGACCTCCTGTGTTTAATACCAGTCCTGAGGTTGGGCGCATGCAGTAATGAGTTTCCTCCTCCAAAGAGCAGACCTGCTAATGTCAAGAGCGCATGTCTGAAACAAGAGGCAGTTCAGCTCTGCTTCCTGCCTCCCCTTTGAGCCGAAATCGCATTAGAAAAGTCAATATCAGTAGCAGGCCAATCGCTAAAACTAATTTTGCCTTCTGTGTTGGTAAAAAAACATGACTAAAAATAGATTAAACCACCGAGATTAAAGAAACCAAAGCAAATATACATGTGCAGAACTCGTGAGCGGACTATATGTTGGGTTTATTCCTTATTCGTGGTCTGTATCTGTTCCTAAGATCAATAAAAATGGTCTGCTCTCTGTCAACCACTGCAATGTGAGAAAATCTATTTTATTGTGATTCATTATTTCAATTAACTAGGATTTTTAAGTCCCTGTATTGATCCATCACTAAACACTTTATGATGTTGAATATATATCATCTCCAACATCATAATCTTGAGTAGCCTCCACATCATCTATGTAGCATTAACCGATAGATATAGGGTGGGGAAAAAAACATAAAGGCCTAATGTTTATTTATTTCATCATGTGTTACTTTATCACTCTGTACCTCTGGGAGAAGCCAAATGGATCTAATTTATTTCACCTCCCTCCAGCCACTCACTGCACAATGATAGTCAATAAGATTCAACACCAGGAGACAAAATGGGGGAGATTTGTCATTTAAGAATTGAGGTTAATGACATTAAATTCTCAAACAGAATTTCAATTGATCCTCACATATAGAAAACAGGTTTTTCCTGACTCACAAACACAAACTGCCCATTCTTTGGTCTTTTTATACTGGATTTACTACATTAGTATTGGTAAACATACCACTGGAAACCAGTTAGCCCTGATGTGTATTTTGTATATATGCATCTTGTCCACACAGTTTTTGTTGCTGCATTAGTTGCTCGTGGTTCCGTACGTAGTTGTTTGTTATGTAATATGGAAAACATACTTGAGCTTAATTGACCCGATAAATGAATAAGGGAAATAAATAGACTATGTGTTCAAAAGGAAAGTTTTGTATCAGTCAAGAGTGTCAATAAAATCATCTGTGTGCAGCACCCGAGTGGCCTCAACGGTACCTGCAAAACATCAGCATGGTTAACATTGTTGTCGTGAGCATGCGAGCAGGCTAATATTAGCTCAAAGCTCTGCTAAGCCCAAATACAAAAACCTCAAAAGCCCCTTTCAGACCTGCACTCCTTTGACTTATAGCATCTGAACGAGTCAGTCTCATGTCTGACAGAGCACCTGGTCATTCTTCTGTAAAAGTTGCCAACCTCACTTGGTCGGCCCTTGTAACGCTTTTGCATAATTTTGGACACGCCACAAATCTGAGCTGCATACAGCTGCATTAACAGACAGGCACGCACGGTGTTACAACGTACTGATGGTCCAATTTTGCGCATATCGTGGCGGACACTATCATGGCCCAACAAAGACTGGAGCAGAACAGACACGAGAGAACAAGAAAACCAATGGAGAGCCTCAAAACAGCAGAACTAAAATGAAACAAGTGCACATAAATTTGGTAAATAACATTTTTAAAACACTTTAGTTTAAATTCTTTGGTTTTCAGGGTACCGTCTGAACACTGGACTGCACTTTTGATTTTCCAGAGTCTCTCTTGGTTTGTTTATAAGTGCGAGGAGGGCCAAATGTTTCAAAGGGAGGGACTCACTCGCCCTTACATCCACGCACCGCTGTACTGGCCGCCAAAACATAAAGCAGAGAAGCTCAGATTACAACACAGAGAGCGAGAGTGTGACTTTATTCTCTGCTAAGGACACAATTACTCCACTTTTGTTTACATAGCAGACAGTTGTATACCGTTACATGAATGCTACTTATGTTGAAAATCTTGCTTATTGCACTTGTAATGTAAAAGAATCACCACTTTAAGTGATGAAGCCACCAACATTACATATCTCATGTCTGAAAGGAGCTAATCAGATGCTGGCATGGCAGTTTTTTTCACATGCTGAGGCTTTTGGGGCATTTTTTCTTCATATTATTTTTCTGGTTAAAGAAAACATTGCTTTAGATCCCACTAAGATTTTGTGCCCGATATTGGGCTATAAAAATAAACTTTAATCGACTTGACAAACCTGACTACATGACATCCATAGCACAGATAAGACAATGTTAATTCATTAGATTGTTTCCTTAACCGAATAACCGCCAGTGTGGTTTCAGCACATGGGTCAGATAAACAAACCACATTCAAATACACATGACCATGTAAAGGAAGCTGATATCCAAAGCTGCACAAAAGGCAGAGACATATACAGGAATGACAGGACTTCAGACCATCTACCGCTGCCTCTGAGTGTTCTTTCTGTGGCTGAGTGTACCCTCCTTTTCATCGTGCACAGTTTGATTTCAAAGGCTGGGTGATGCAGCCAGCTCTTCCAGCTCCATCATCGCTCCAGGTCACAGGACTGCCAGTTCAGGGTGTCTGCCTCCACAGCATGCAGGCTCCTACTAACCCCATTTTACAAACGAGCTACATCTCTGCAGCATCTCACAGAATGTGCATTTAAAAAAAAGCACAGTTCAGCTAAAGCCTGGCCTTTCTGCACGGCTGTCAGTCAGTCTTGTTAGAGCAGACTAGCAGCCTCCTGTCACAGGGTTAGAAATGCAAAACAAGCCATCTCCCGTAACACTTGGCTTCTCCCTGAGGGACGCATTCCCCCTCCAAATGAAATGGGGTCCAGCTTGGCTCTTCTTTGTGTTTTGAGACCACCCAGTATGAGCACAAACCGAAAACAAATATGAACTCAAAAGCTATTCAAACAAATCTGACCTTTTATTATGTATTTCAATAAATCTTAATCCATTGTTTTATCAAAAGTGTCAAGTATTTGGTCTGTTTGTTGAGACTTTGCGTGCAGGTGCCTAAACTGATCACGCTCTGCAGATGCTTTTAAACTTGCAGCAGACTGTAAGTAATATGCATAACTCTCCTAATCTAAAACCACATGTGAGGCACAGACAGGCAACGAGAGACAGTGTGTATCCCCCCGAGGCGCTGGATACCCATGTCTGCCCGGAAACACAGCCACACATGGATGTTGTTTAATTGTACTGAGATCACACACATGTCCTCTACTAAGTCCTGCTAATGAATGGCTTCGGCAGTTATGACTAATACCCGAGTGGCTGGAAAACACGCCGTAGAGTTTACCTGCAAGGCGAAGTAAAACACCGAGACCATAAAAGTGCTCAGCTCTGCGTGAGTCATAGGGGCAGGACGATGTTTAAAGTGATTTGCTGTCTTGGTTTCAAATTATCAATTGACTTTTATGTTCATTCACTACAGCAGCAATGTGTAAAACCTCCACACGATGTACCGTACCAGGAAAACGGCCCACACCAGGAATCGACAGAGGATGTGGATGTTCATCTTTTTGTAGAAAATTATAATTTTCCCCGCCTGTGGAAAAAAGAGGCAGCGATAAGCACAGATACCACGAATCATTCACTCATGCATTTAATGAGAAATACCACATAAACACCCGCGGCCAGTGTGTCCGTGTATTTGCCCTTGGGTAACCAAATATGCCTGGGATGTGGCTGTCGATGCCGCGTCCCTGACGTGGCGGTCACATTTCTCCTATCCTGTCGAGCCAGATGTGGGGTGTAAGACATCCGCACCCTCTGATTAATTTGGTGATGATGAATATGTTTCAGCTGAGAACATTAGCGTGGACGAACACAGAGGAGGGCAGCGGACACCTGGCGTGTCGTCTAAGACTCGCTGACTGAAGGGCTCAGAGCTAACCGTCCACTGGGAATTGAGAAATGCGGCTGCTTTTGCATGGCAACTTCCCACAACCCAAATGGTTATAAGTGACACAGTCGCCATCAGAGACTCAGGTCTAAAGACCGAAAGCTCTCTCCTCACTTTCTGACAACATTTAGTCAGTTAAGGAGGGCAGCTGTGCACAGTGAGCGGGAAAATGTCTTTCACATAACTTTTACTAAGTAGTGAGTTAGTCTCACTGTCAAATAGACTCTATGTTTCAACTGAGCAATGATCACATAGCTAGCAGATCTACAAATGCTACATAGGTTCAAATTACATTTGGGTCAAATATGAAAGTGTGTAAAGAAATCTGTTTTTTTTTTTTTTAAAAGTAATTAAACAAATATATGTAAATTCAATTGAAAACACATTGCAATGAAGAAACAAGAGAAACAATGTACACAAGCAGGAACTACAAACTACAAACCTGAGGCTGTTAATATTAATCCTATTCATGACTTTTGGGGTCTTGTGGACCCCAGACCATTTGGTTTAGGTGACAGGTATTGTTTTTTTATTTTTGAAGATTTTTCTTTTTTAATATAAAAAGAGGGACATTTGTCATGCATTTAGAACCAAAAATACGCCAACTTATCAGAAAATTGATTGAACATAGTATAAAAGCCCGTGAGATACATCTTTAAAACACTCTTGTCCCACTTGTTGAGTCATCACAGGAAGAAATAAATGATCCTTCTCACCTGCATCCCCATAAATCCCATGACAACGGAGTTGATTGTACCCAGAACCCCCTCTGGGTCAAAGGGCTGTGTGGTCTGATACAGCTCCTGGAAAAGTCAAAAATAAAAAATAAAAAATTTAAAAATCAAGTTTATAACTCTTCATGCATTGTTTTGTGGTGGACAGATCGTTGACTAGTGTGTGAAAAAGCTCCTTACTTTGCATGTGGGGTATCTGAACATGTTATCACCAAACATCCACTTGTCAATGTATCCTGCTGCTCCTCCGGTGCAGTTTGGGTAAAGACCGTTATCACCGATTCCACCAGCTCCTAGATACCCGCTGATGACAAAAAGTACAAAATTAGAGTAGATAAAAACACTTCAGTTTTATGTAGATTTATAAAAGTATGATAAAATATAAACTACAGATTTAACCAAAGGAAGCTCAGTGTTTTATCTCACACCAAAGATCACCTCTTGTTTTTAAACTCTGACAGTTGTGTCTTGAGATTCATTCACCACACGTCTTCACATCCCAGTGAAAATAAAAATCAATCAGACGTTGGAGGGAGAAAAAAAACACAGAAGCTCTGGGAAAAATCCTACAGTTTGAACCCATAGTATTCTAAATGTGACGCCATGCGGGGTCACAGAGACGGGGAAAAACACAGAGGACACAGAGCGAGGAAGATGGATCCTCTGCCTCCGCTCCTCTTATTGCACATGACAGACTGAGATTGGCTAATTATGCCCTCTGAAGCATCTACCACGGGCCCATAAATCACGGCGGTTCATAACACCTGCAACACAAGGTGCACACTAACACCTCCGCTGCAGCGCAGCAGCCCCGACTGGAGATTATCACAGCATGAAGAGACGGATGAAATTTATACTATTAGCATATGTGTACAGTGGATTAATGGGCAGATTGTGCTGGGCTGGTTACACGACAGCGGGAGCCTTGTTTGGACTTACGTGGGGCAGTTGGGTACAGGCATGAGGAAAGTGATGCACAGCCACAGAGTCTCCAGCAGGATGATAATCAGCCACTGTGGCCAATAGAGGAAAACATCCTGGGCAGGGTTCCACCAGTGATGCTGCATCACACACAAACGTGAAAAACTGAGTTAGAAAACTGCTTGTGTCTTTGGCATTTTTAACATTAAAGTGTATTTTGGTGTATGTTCTGTCAATACAAGGTGCACACAACGAATCAGCTTTTTTTAAAACTATACTGGCAGCTAGACGGATGGAAATGTTGATTTCTATGGCACTAATTAGTGGATTTTTGGTGCAAATATTTATGTTTTGCAGAATGGATATAGTTT